ACACACACACACACACACACACACACACACACCCTATTGCTTTTGCTTCTCTAGAGAACTCTAATACAGAATCTGGCACCAAGAGCGGAGTAGACAGATTTTGGAACCAGGAGTGGAGTGCTACTGTAATAAATACCGAAAAATATGGAATGGCTTTGGGACTGGATAATGAGTAGAGGTATGTGCTAGAAATATGGATGTTAACAGGGATTCCTGGTGAGCTGGAGAGAAGTTCCATCTTCTTAGAAAAATGCATAAATAATCATGAACAGAATGTTGGTAAAAATATGGATGTTAAAGGCCATTGTGCTGGAGGTCTCAGGAATACGTAATTGGAAACTAGGGGAAGGATGATCTTTCTTATGAAGGGGGAAAGACCTTGGCCAAACTGTGTTCTAGTGTTCTGTGGCAGGTAGAACTTGCAAGCTATGAAATTGGATAGTTAGCAGAGGAGATTTTTAAGTAAAGTGTTAAAGGTTCCTCCTGACTGCTTATAGTAAAATGTGAAATTGGCCACAGGAGGACTAAATTCCACCCTACCTAGTGGGCAATGGATAATAAGAACGCCCCCAGCTTCCTTACCACTGTAGTCCAGGGCACCTGGGGAATCCTGGTGTAGGTCATTGTTATGTAGATGATGAGGAAGAAGACGGTGAGGACCCAGTAAAATACAGCTACGAACATGACCCAGCCAAACGCAGGGACAAGGAAGTACTCAGTCCCAGCGATAAGCGTCCATACCAGCAGTCCCAGAACCTGTAAAATGATAGAGACAGTGGGGAAAAAAGGAGAAAGGAGAAAATAAAAAGAAGGAAGTGAGAACAGAGAAAAAAAAATCATTATAGAGTGTCAATTACAACTATCATTCATATATACACATACACATGACTTACAAATATAATAGGGGTTGCAGACTCACGTGCCTAAAAATGCCAGGAAGGTAAAATAAATGAACAAAGTAGGCGGGGCAGAGACCATGGCAAACAGGAAAAACTATGTCTTGTTTTAAGAGGCAGTCTCCACTCAGCTCCAGCCAATTGCTGTGGACTATTTTGCTTTCCCCCACCCCCCAATACACATACACATGACTTACAAATATAATAGGGGTTGCAGACTCACATGCCTAAAAATGCCAGGAAGGTAAAATAAATGAACAAAGTAGGCGGGGCAGAGACCATGGCAAACAGGAAAAACTATGTCTTGTTTTAAGAGGCAGTCTCCACTCAGCTCCAGCCAATTGCTGTGGACTATTTTGCTTTCCCCCACCGCCCCCCAGGAGAACAAAGAAACTCAAGTCTCTACATGATAATTTTGATTAAGTGTTTGCGCTAACGAGAGTTTTAAAATATCATGAGGGGCAAAGCAACACACATCTGTAACTGGAATCTGCTCACAGGCTGATACCTGTCAAGCGAACGAGACTGAAGATCAACTCAAGGTGGTCCCTGGACTGATCTGCTCTCGAGGGATGAATCTCTGAGGACTCCCCACCTGCTACAGCTGCCCTCCTCGCAGGTGACAGATGAACATGTGGCCCGAGAAAGCTCTCAGAAGGGAGGATGAGCAAGGGCCCAGTCCAGACATGGCACTTAGCAATTTAACATGAGCTGCACATTTATCCAGCAACAGCTATCAACTCTTCACTACTGCCGATGAGCAAGACTGAACCCAAAGCCAAATCAGTGTCATCACTGACTGAAAGAGGACTTCATCGAGGGAAAAAACCGGATCTAAATCATACACATGCTTAGTCCTAAACAGAAGAAGGAAAGCCAGAGCAAGGCATGCATCTCACATCTAAGCACCTTTCCAGGACCAGGAAGACTCTGTTCCTAAGCCATGAAAAAGTTCATATCTGAACCGTATCTCCAGGAGACAGCATCAGGAGTCTAGGGTGGGTCTGGCTGCAAGTTCCAGCCTGCTGTGTGATTCAGGACAAGTAATTTCATTTCCGTTTTAGCTTTCTGCATGGTATATAAAACAAAGTACTAAAGTAATTTTAACTGCAAAGCGAGGCAGGCGGGAAGACGACATTCTAGTCAGAGCATGGCACAGGCAAAGGTCTGGAAGGGGAAAGGATTTCTTCCTTCTAGAACCTGTAAGAAAGTATAGTAAATAGGACTGGTGCAAAATGTGGGAGAGGTTGGGGAGGGCCCAGGATGCCCAAGGATTTTGTGTTTTATCCTAAGGACAGTGAGAAGGTTAGCAGATGTGGTATATTTCCTAAAACAGAAAAAGATAGTCTTAAGTACATGGTGTTCAGCCATTGATCTGGTGGATGATTTTTATTTTTCCCATCCCTATCAAAAGGGTGGATTGTACACAGTAAACATTTATCAAATTGGTAGTTGATAGATGGTCACAGGGATGGGGAGTACAGCAGATGGAATGCAGTTAGTACTAATGTAATGGCTAGGTGTAGAGCCAGAGGAGAGAAAGAGCAATTAGGGGGATTGTTTTATAAGCCACATAAATGTTGAACTAAGGTAGTAGGAGAGCCAGAGGAGAGAAAGAGCAATTAGGGGGAGTTTTATAAGCCATAAATGTTGAACTAAGGTAGTGTATACTTGAAACTAATAATAAAATTGAAAAAAAAAATTGAAAAAAATGTTCCATTGTTGCTGATGTGTACGTGTACTATGATTGAGTTTGCACTGAACACGTACACAGTTTTTCCTTGTCATTATTCCCTAAACAATATAATCTAACAACTATTTACACATCATTTACACATTATAAGTAATCTAGAGATGATTTAAAGTATATGAGAGGATGTGCATGGGTTATATGTAAATACTATGCCATTTTATATAAAGGACTTGAGCATCTGCAGATTTTGGTACCTGTGGGCGTCCTAGAACCAACCCCCCACAGACGCCAAGGGATGACTGTATCCAAGACCAATATGGTAGCAGTGAATGTTGAGAAGGGACTGAATTCGAGATAACTTTCAGAAATAGAGAGGACTTTAATAGATTTAATAGATTAGATTAGGATAAAGTGGAATGACCCCAGGCCTCTAAAAAGATTTACAAAGTGGATTAGCATGTCGTTTTCTCAACAGGATCAATGAAAAAGAAACACATTTAAGGGGCTGATCTGATCAACAGTTCACAAGTTTGGTTTTCAACCGACTCAGTATGGAGCAGCCAGGGACCTCCAGGGAGGTACTGGAAGTGGGCACTGCAGGGAGGAGCATTCAGGCTCCTCTTTAAGAAGACACTGAAGATCACTAAGCTCTTGGACAGGTTTCCAAGGGACATTTTAAACTGCTCGCTGGGAGAAGCCCACATCTCTGTCACAGTTTGGAGGCCTGTGCCGGGGAGCAGGGAACAGAGTGTGAATATTGCTGTTTTTCTACTTTAGAAGTGAAAATTGATGTCCTTTTACCTGCTAGATATTGTAGATGAACTCCAAAGAAATGCTTAATGGAGATGCGTTTTTGTGCTTACATCTGTAACAACATAATTTATTGAAAGTGAAGATACACAAAATGGGACAGAACTCCAGAAAATGTTGAGCGTCATGCTAATGGGGTTCTGGGACCCGAATTCACCATAACTGGCAGGTAATCTATACACGTCTATTTAACATTCCATTGGATCAGTAAGACTGGTAATGGATGTAATCCGACATGGCAGGGTCTGAAACAATATTGCGGGCTTCTTGATTAAAACCGAAAGGGTCAGCATGGCCCTTTGCTCATGATTCACACAGGAAACATAACCATTCACAAAGAGGCACTGCAAATGGGGTTCGAGTGACCCTCCAGGGGAGTGCAAAGGTTTAAGAGTTTCCAGCACACGCTCGTGTCCAGCTAAACAGGCTCAGCTAAAAGCTCTTGGCTCCAAATGTGAAACCGTTTTTCATTATTAAAGCAAGTGGAGTCCACTGTCTAGAGACGCTTTGTCTAATGTGCTAGCAGTGGTCATCTATTACACACAGGGACAGTATCATTAGCTGAGCCATCTCTCAAAGATCAGGAATATAAGACCCATGACCTCACCACCTAACACAGTAAAAAGGATATCCCCATCAAAAAAAGAATTGTTCTACCCAAGCGAATTTCCTGTGTAACTGAAATATATCTAGGAACAAAGCTTTTGTCTCTCACTGTAACCGATATTGCTGAAAATCACTCTACAAAGATATTATCCATCTCCTGCTGTGTGTGTATATGTATGTGTGCATGTTTAAGACAAACTCTAGATCTTTATCTGCTTAGACAACAAAAATACTGTTTTTTTGTTGATAAGCATTTTTTTAGGCTAAGACTCCTTTTGAACGGTAAAACTAAGACTTAATAAAATTTCAAAAGTTATAATACAGTAAAAATAAACACAGAGGTATATAATGTATATATAAAGTAAGCAACGACATGAAACACTCATTCACCAGTTGTAAATTCTCAAGAGAAAACAATATAAAAATTTCCTATCAGCCCTTCTTAACTTCTTTACCTTACAGTTATAGGTACCACCTGTACATCCTTTTTTCTCTTTTAAAAATATGGACCACTCTGTACATGGTGCCCATAACTTGTTTCTTTCACTCAGCAGCACCGCGAAGGACTTGTTTCCATGCTACGATATACAGATCTACGCCGATTTTAACAGTTGTTCAATTTTCCATAATTCTTGTTCCCAGTTCCCTACCGAGAGAAATTTAAGTTGTCTCCTTTATGTTTGTACAAAAACTCCCAGGGAACACTCTTCTAATATATACCTCTGCATACCTGAAATCCAGGATAGATTCCTACAAGTGAAATTTCTAGGATAATTTTAGCTTTAGAGCTGCTGCCAAAGTACTCGTCAAAAACCTTCTTTTAGTTTATCCTGTCTTCAGTGTAACCATGCTCTTCCCTTCCGCCCTCAGTGAATTCCCATGCTTTACATGATTAAAAAGCCAATTAAAAAAAATGTTTTGCCTTTCACTGCTTTATTGACATACAGCATAGAAAAAAGCGTACAAATCCTAAGCAAACAGCTTCATGAATTTTCTCAAAATGAACAAACCCAGGTAACCAGCAGCCACATCAAGAAACAGAGCATGACCAGCAGCATCTGGAAGCTCCATCCCCACTTCTTGTTAATCCTTCTCTACAGCAGGAGTAACGACTCCCCTGCTTTCTATCACCCTAGATTACTGTTGCTGGTTTTTGAACTTTGTATCAATGGGATCCCAGAGTATGTACTTTTATGTTTGGTCTCTTCTACTCAATACTGTGAGACTCATCCATGACATTGGATGTTCATTCATTCTCCTGGCTACGCTGCAACGGTTCGCAATCAGGAGTGAGCATCAGAACCACCCAAAAGGGTTTGTGAAACCACAGATGGGTGGGGCCCCACCCCCACAGTTTATGATTCAGTAAGTCTAGGATGGGATCTGAGAATCTGCATTTCTAAAAAGTTCTCGGGTGATGCTGATGCTGCTGGTCCAGGGGCCACACATTAAGAACCACTGATACAGCATTCTTCTTGTTTCAGTTTGCATTTCCCTGATCAGTGGCGAGGATGGTAGAGCATCTTTTTAAATGCTTATTAGCTACGCCCAGTTCTTTTCCTTATTTATTGATAAGTTTTTAAAAAATTGCTTTCTTCCCAATTTGTAGAAATCTTTACATAAAAGGGATAGTAACTGAGTACATATATGGCAATATTTTCCCCATCCAACTTTCTTTTCTAACTTCATAGGGTCTTTAGTTATGTGGAAGTTTAAAATTTTTACATAGTTAATGGATTGCACCTTCTTCT